AAGTCATGCTTGAGGTGGTGATCGAGACAGTCGACGAACCCAATGATGAAGACGACGCAGACGGAATGGCGAACCCGCCGTTTGTCGTACTTGTGGAGAATTCGACCTGTTTTGTGGTATTATGGTCTGGAAACAAGCTTGCGGACGTAGGCGTTGAGGATTGCTGCTCCGTGACCGTGTCTGTTCTCGGCGATGATGAATTTGTGAGAAGGGTGCTCTGTGCACTTAACGTTGTGCTTCCTGTAAGCTGCGAAAGGATACCATTGCTATGATCGACTGTAGATGTGGACTGTCCGGAGCTGGAATGTCCAGAGCTGAGTAGTGTCGGAGACCCAGAAGGGGATGCAATGGTGCCAGTTACTGAGTTTGGATGCAATTCGTCGATAGTAAAGTCCTTCGCCCATCGTTTTACTTCTATGTCGTGGGCGGCCATCGCATTCACAACTATGTCGCCCCTCATTCGAAGCTCCGTGCCGTTGCCTTTGATGTGCTTTGGCGCCACGCCCTCCTGTCCGTTGGGTAGTGTGTGGACGGCAATCTCGGCCAGGGCCAGAAGCGCGCATACAATGAACAGCACGATTCCCAAGAACCATAGCTGAAACACGCAAGGCTTGAAGTTTGGCGGTCTGGAAGCCGAGGCATTGTACACTCTCGTCTCGTCCTTGTAGGAAGCCTCCCAATCGCTGTAGTTTGCCCCATCGTACGCGGTACCTTGTTGGGCCGGTGTCCGGCCAAAGTCTTCAGGACCATAATACTCGCTGAAGCTCCTGTTAGTGCCAGACTCGGCCTGATCGTAGCGGCGCTCTTGCAGCGACTCCGTGTCGTGTTCGTCGATGGGCGACAACGCGGTGCCGATCTGGATGGTGACTGGCTTTGGCGGTGTTGCCAAATCCGTCCCATGCCCGTTCAAAGAGCGTTGTGTGTGGTCTCTCGCGGCAACATCGTAGACCGCCGGTACCGATGCGACAGCATCGCTTGCTGTGCTTTCTTCAACGACATCCTGCTGCGGCAGGGCAGCGAAACCCGAGGGCGGCGCCATCTTTGTCAGTCGTTGCGGGGCGAGAGTTGAGACGTGCCGAGTTCAGGTGTTGAATTTGGCCATCCTCCGACCTGCGGATGTCCGTAACGTCATGATTCTGATAAGAGGCCTCGCAACGTATCGCCAAACAACCCCGAGCGGGGGTCGCTGCAGTATTTGAACGAGATGTATCCAATGCTTTATCCTCCGCGACGCCATGCCGGAAGCCGCAGCAGGCATATGGCTGAGACGCCGTTGGGAGGTCCCAGGCGGCTGCCACCAAAGGCGCCGCATATCCTGGCGTGGACCCTGCCGGCGCCACGTCCATTGCTGACAGGAGTTGGGGTCTTGGCCTTGGCATCAGGGAAGAGTGCATGATGAGATTGCAGAAGGCGTCAGGCGAGGGCGGCAGTGGACCAATGGAGAGCCAGGCCCTGGCGCGCAGAAGAGCGACGATGCTGACTGGCGGAGGATACGGCTGCTTGGTTTAAGATCGCGGCGGGTACGTCAGCCGGGACCCTCGTCCCTGGTGATCCCCTGTCCTTTGGCCCGGGCATTCTGTGCGTAAGAGCTGTCCGACCTCTGTGATGCTTGTGCCAAGGTCGCCGGCGCGGTTCATCAGTTCTTCATGGGAACATGGCCCAATTTGTTCGCACCTTGAAATGGGAAATCCCTTGGTCTGGCGAGAGACCTCCGGACTTTCTATCGCTAGCGACAATGAGATATTGCCGCCAGGTTAACAGCCCGGGATGGAGGCAGTGACGGCCCCATCTTCAGGGTTACCGCCCACGGAGGTAGACGGCGGCTCGCGAGCGCCCGATATAGATCACGCAGTCCAGGGTCCATATCGCACACGACTCATCGCTGTGGGTACGGCACGCCGCCAACAGTGCAGTCCCAACAGTGTCTAATCACAATGTCATGGCGCAGCGAGCTGGTGTGGATATTTTGCCAAGCCCGAGGCATCGCTGGCCATTGAAGTCATGCTTATGTTTTTCAATTCGCCCGCGTGAGGAATAGGTTCGCGGCCTGCGGGCGGCAGTGGCTCGCGTGGTTGAGGTTGCGGTCGCTGCTGATGTAGGTAGAGACGGGTGTTGACACACGCCTGACCACAGTCGATGCTCTTGTAGTCCGATGGGGAGCGGTGGTGCCCGTTATCTCATGAGAAGCGACTTGTTGAGGTGATGGAGACACGAAATTCTGATGAGACATTCTGGCGATGTGCAGAGCGTTTGGCGAGACCAAGCCGTGGAGAGAGGAAGCCGCTCTCCACGACTTCATGTGCCTGGTGATGCCCAACCCATCAGGTGGAATTCACGATGCATGGACACCAGTTACGCGGGGCTGCAATGAAATGCCGATACGATTATGGATAAGGGCACAATTTTCAACAGCATCCGTCGTTGCTCTAGCAGGTGCTATCGTCTAGTGGTTAGGACATCACGTTGTGGCCGTACGCAAGTACAGTTAACACTAACTTTCACGCAAGTCAAATTGCCGTGAAAACGCCGGTTCGATTCCGGCTAGCGCCAGTAACCTGGATTTCATTTTTTGCAGTCATGGTTGACCGAGAGTCGTTCTCGGATTGCCATGTACTTCGGTCAGGCATGGCTGTTGCTGCTTGCGCTGATTCGCTTTTGGCCTGGTCATGAATGCAGGTGTGTTCTGTCTGCTTGTTGACTCTGCCAGTTCATGGCCCCACTGCCTGCCCTCAGCACCCATGGTGACCTGACGAGGGATGGCGCGTGACCACACTGGATCCCCACGTCGACAAGACAGAAGCATGCGAGAACACTTCTGCAGCGAGACTCTCTTGTCGTGTATCTGGAGATCCGTCAATCGCGAGGCCAATGAGCCAAAGCAAAATTCAAAAGGCACACACGCGCACACATGACGAAGTCGGGTGAAACAAGACTGTCACGACCTAATTTTCAGACAGCGTGAACTGATGCTCACCCTCTTGGAGCCACTAGTCCATTCGGGACCAGCCGAGCAAGTGCAACATGGCATTGTGTCAAAGTACGGATTCGGACAGCGGCTCGCCTTCTCTCATGCCAATTTCAGGAAAGGCCCTGTGACCCAGTTGGTGGAAACGGGTGAGAACAAACTTCCAGCGGGACTGTCGAGCGTGAAACCACAGGGTTGGGCAACCCTGGCATGGGTCCTCCAGGAGGCGGCTCATCGCAGGGTCAGCTGCGGCTCCCAGGTTGCGGACCGCGCTAACGGCCGACAACCCTCTGAACTCAACAGGCCCGAACAAGACAGTTCCGTCCGGCATCGGTCGCGCTTTCGAGTATTGAGCGATTTCTGAGCACCATATGCCGGCTGAATGATCCACGCAAACAATGAGCCTCAGGTGCACAGCCGGGCACGCTTCCACGTACAGAGTTAGTTGAGTCCGAGTTGGTCAACTGAAACAGCAATGCGGACTCGGAGAGACCAGGGCACCCGCTGCAACCCCTGTCGAGCCGGGGATAGCTTCAGACGATCTCAGACAAGAGACGTTTCTCGCAACCTCCTGAGCTCGGCTGCAACACACGAGGCGTTTATTCGTACTCGGGCACACTTACGATGCGCGTAATGGCCTCGGCCCGCTAAACATGTCTTCGCACGTCCAAGTATATGAGGCATCGTATCGCCCACTCTGATGCACGACTATTTCTCTTGACCTCCCAGGCCTTTCCTCACAACCTTGTAAATAACAACCCAGACAGCTGTGCTGCCGACAACTTCGCTTCGTCCCCCATTCGCTGGTCCGAACTTACATACTCTCTCCCTTCGTGGCTCATTTCCGTTGTTTCGACTACAACATCTACCCATCTTCAACCTACCAAGCAACAATGTACTTCCGCACCACCTTCCTCGCCACCATCCTGGCGGCCACCAGCGTCCTCGGCGCGGCCATCCCCAGCACCAGGATCACCACCCCGGCCATCGAGCGCCGCCAGCAGTTCCGCCAGCAGACGTACGACCAGATCTCCATCTCGGGCGGCGTCGCCGGCAACGCCGAGGCCGAGGCCAACGCCGTCTTCGCGTCGCTCAACACGGCCAACCTAGCCGCCGCGAGCGAGGCCGACAAGGACTTCCTCAACAGCGTCAACAAGATCTGCAACGAGGCCGAGAAGGGCGCCTTCAACACGGCCATCGCGGCCGCCTCGGGCGAGGCCGCCGCGGCCCTGCAGCGCGGCAAGATCAAGAACAAGGTCCTCAAGCTCAAGGCCACCCTGCTGCTGCTCGGCGTCAAGCAGGCGCAGGGCGAGAACGTCGCCGCCGACATCGCGGCCGAGACCAAGAAGTTCAACAACAACATCACGCAGGACAAGGCGCAGGCCGGCAAGACGTCGACCAAGTTGTCGTTCAACGCGAGCACCAAGGGCGGTGTCTAAAGCAGCCAAGAGGGCGGGCACGGGGCTGGCGTAGCTTAGAGCAGGTCAGCTGTGTCTACTTGGACATCTCGTACGACGTTTTGAGTTGCGTGATTGTAGTCCAAGTCAATTCTAGGAAAAAAGTTCACAAGATTGCAGGAACGGTGATACGTTTTGTTCGATGCGTGCCGCCAGCATGTTCGTATAATGGTGACTCAGGAGAATCTAGTAGTGAGGTTGTCCTGGCTTACTTCACCGCACAATACACAACTCCAACTTCGCTGTACTGGTATTATTAGAACATATCAAGATTACCGGGAGGTTTAGAAACACAGGCGGGTTTTCAAACGACACGACAGTGCCGTCGCAGCGGGTCTTAAGGACTTTAGTTCTTTAAGGCGAAACGTGCCTTTGCAAGTGGAGTTTCGGTTGGTCGCAGTTCCCGAGCTCCTCCGGTCGTAGTAAAAAAGCAGAGACGTAACCACCCGCCACCATCGTTCAATGCACACAAGACTCAACCACCACTACAGCAAAAAATTGAGAACCCTTTACATCGCGTTACAATGTTTTCGGGGGAACGAGCAAAAAGATAGAGAGTTACTCAATGCGCTCTTTCGCGACAAAGACAGGACTCGAACCTGCGCGACCGAAGCCATCAGCTTACGTAATCAGCTCCTGACGGAGCGTTTTCGAGGCTGACCCATTAACCACTCTGGCACTTTGCCACCAACTGATTGGTGATCCTTGTAGAGGCTGGCTCTTATGCTGGGTCATCATGGATTGAAGTTTGGTGCTGCTGCAGAACGGTTGATGGCATACGTAACTGCTTCAGACATGATCTTGTTGATCTGCATCCTTAGTCTACCAAGGAAGTTGGCAGACATGTCTTCTTGCGGTATAAACTTAAGCTTTTCCCATTGTATCAGTACCTATGATCGCAACGGTACAATAGTATTGTTGTCACAAGAGTAAGTCTCGGTAGTGCAGGTTGGTTCTGTGGTGTAGACAACTCGTTTTTTCCACTTCTCGGAATTCCAAGTTCATGTAATGTTATTCGAGGCCAAAGTCGGAGACAGGAAAGTCATAGCGAAATCGTTCATGCAGGAGGTGTCACGCCATCCCGGTGTGACTCAAAACAATCGCAAGGACCTTGCACCATTCAAGGACAAGCGGGGGGGCCTCATGTGCTTCATTGTTGACTCCAACACTCTTTCACCAACAAAATTGCTAGAAATTATTTGCAATTCCACATGTTTCTCCAAATACAGTATCTCCTTTCCGGCATCATGGCACAAAATATCTACGACAATAAAGATTTCTTTGACAACTACGTCCAGCTGGACAGGCAGACCAAGGGCCTCGAGGGGGCTCCGGAGTGGCCGCAGCTCCGCGCCATGCTCCCCGCGGACCTCCGTGGACTCCATCTCCTTGATCTGGGGTGCGGAATGGGCTGGGTCTGTCGTTGGGCACTTGAGAACGGAGCTGCATCGGCACACGGAGTCGACCTGTCACAGAACATGCTCGCGAAAGCTCACGAGATGGGCAGTACTTTGTCATGCAGCAGGAGCGCGACATATGAGCAGGCAGACCTGGACTCTCTGAGCCTCCCGCCAGACAAGTACGACATTGTCTTCAGCTCGCTCGCCTTCCACTACCTGCTGAACCTGCCTCAGCTCATGGCGCAGATCAGCAGGGCGTTGCGTGCTGGCGGCCGGCTCGTGTTCTCCGTCGAGCACCCCATCTTCACTGCGCCGCACGACATCTTTGCCGCGCCGCTGAAGGCAGGCATGCGGACGGACGACACGACGGGGCGCAGATACTGGCCCGTGGACGCTTACCAGCATGAAGGGCAGAGGCTGCGCAGCTGGTTCGTGGACGGCGTCAGGAAACAGCACCGCACCATGGCCACGTACATCCGGATCCTGCTGGACGAGGGCTTCGAGCTGACGGACTGTGTAGAGTGGTGCCCTTCGGCGGAAGAGCTGGAGGCTGCTCCTGAGTGGGCGAGCGAGATGATCCGGCCGACATTTCTGCTTGTGGGAGCGACCATGAAGGGCCAAGGGAAGATATGCGAAAGTATTGCGAAAGTATCAATTTGAATTGAAGCTGGAACACTGATGCTGAGATGGAAAGGCGAAATGCTTAGCAGCGGACACTAAGATGGACTTGCTGCAGGGGTTGATTGACGCTGCGGGCGATCGTCGCTGGCTGGCAAGGACCACGACGCCGGAAGCCGTGGGGTTCGCGGCAGTGCCACTGGGACTACCGGTGGCTCCGCGTAGTCTAGGTACCTTAAGGCACCTTACGGAGGAGCGAGGACAGGCACCAGGGCAGGCAGGCCGCCCGCCGCCCGCCCGTCCCCCGGCCCGCCCAGGCGCGAGCTTGCGACATCATCGCACATGGGATCATCTCGAGCTGCTGCTGTGGGGGCTCCAGGGCTGTGCTGCTCGACAGCTCCTTATCGGCTCGTCTTGACTCTTGGTCTGCCTCCCCTTTCGACGCCTCCTCGCCCTCACATTCCTTCGCAGCGACAGCATCGCCTCCTCGCAACCACAGCAGCCCTTTCGAAGCTTCCCTCGCGCGTGCACACAGCCGCCCAAGCGACAGCGCTTTCGAGTCCCGCGTCCTCCGCAAACGACACCACTGCCATCGAAGCGTTCCCGCATCTCATATCGCGAGACTCGTCATCACCTCCCCAGCACCCGCAAACCACCGAGCCGGTCCACGCAAGCTGCCCTCCCGCCCTCTGGGCCTCGACATGCACATACCTCCCTCCCGCCCGGCGATACCGAGACCAACGGCGTGAATGCTTCCCCTGAACCCATTCCTCGCCGCCTTCTTCAAGCCGGGCAACTCGCTTGCATCCCAGTGCACGCCTGTCCACCACCACATCCTCCTCGTCCCCACCACCGAGTTCTTCCTCACCTCCCGCGAGACAGAGAGCGGCCAGTCCCTCGCCGACTTTGTCGCCTCCGAGGACTTCCAGGGCAGCCATGTCCTCCGCGTCCCCGGCCCGGCGGCCGCCGCGGGAGGAAAGGATTCGGGGGTAGGGAATCTGCGCGAGATCAGGGGCAAGGCCCGGCAGTACAACACCGTCAACGGCCGCAGCATCGTCATCAAAGATGCGGCCCTGTTCACAAACAAAGGTAGACCTCTCCTCCCGTGGTGACCTAGCACAGCGGTACTGCCGATCGACGCTCTGCGCCCCCCCGCCCGCTAACAGACTGGCTGCAGGCTTCAAGACACTCGCGCAAGCGCAGCTACTTGGCGACAGCATATGGTACGGTGACACGATCGAGCCCCGGCAATGGCTGATCTACTACATATCACGGCCCCTCGTGGGCACCTGGGACGAAATCCCCATCGAACCCGCAGTCTACACGGACGGAATGGCCAAGCGCAAACGGGAGGAGCTCAGGCGCAAGACGGCAGTCGATAATGGTGAACCAAGTGCTCCGCGGAAGAAAGACATCAAGAGCTTCCACGACCTGCTCAACAACTTCCCGCTTATTGCGCGGCAGATGCAGCCCGGCTTGGAGAAGCTGTTCGCCGAGTTCAGGACGGCATTCGAGAAGCCATTGCCCCCGCCGCCCTCCGCCGTCAACATTCCCGACCCCACGCCGGACGGGCCGATACTTGCAGCAATGCGGAGAGCTCGTTCAAGCAGCGTCTCTGCAGTGCGGCGGCCAGTCTTCGCGGAGCAAGAAAGAGAACCAGTCGTCGAGAACTTCTTTGCCGAGGACAGCGAGGACGTTATGCGCGTCGCGCTCGAGACCGCCGTCACAAGCGCCATCGACATTTTCCAGGGCGTCGACAAGCAGCAGCTCTCAATGCTCGGTGCGACGACCGAGCTGACTGGCCCCATTGTGGAAAGGTTGATTGAGCGATACATTACAGAGACCCTACACCATTTAATATGGGCGCGATTGGCGGCTCTGCTGCGTTCGGAAGACCTGGAGCTGGAGAGCAAACTCCGGCAGATGCAGCACATCGACATCTCACAACTGGGCCTCTTCATCGAAGGTGGCCTGCGCGACAAGAGGATTCTCACAGCTCGCATCGAATCTGCCGTGGAAGAGTTCCGCAAAATGTCGAGTGCCATGTCACCACAGGAGCTCTTGGAACAGCTGCTGTCCACGCTCAAGCTTGTCACCAGGTTGACAGAACAGCCAAGGCCGGATCTAGCGGGGCAGTCGTCAGAGAAGCCCATTGTAACGATCAACGCCGACACGCTCGTGTGTCTCCTGCTGTATGTGGTGATACGTGCAGGGGTCAAGAATCTGCAGGCGCGCCTGCTTTACATCAGGCATTTCATCTTCATCGACGATGTAGAGAGTGGCGAAATGGGCTATGCGGTGAGCACATTTGAGGCTGTCCTGTCGTACTTGGCCAGAGACTCGAGCAGTTTGCGAAAAGCGAGCCGACGAAACAAGGCATTGTGGGATGCCACTGCCAGAGGCGACGTTGACGAGCTTAAGCGCATCATGGACCCTGATTCTGACACGGCGCCGGATGAGGACGACGACGAAGAAGAAGACCAAAATGGTTTGGAGCGCAAGACGTCAGTGTCCTCAAGCCATGCTCCGTCCATGAGCTGGAGTTTTGTCAATGGCTCGTCACGAAGGTCCTCCTTGTCGGTACCATGGTCGCGCGACGCGCAATCACAAACCACTGGGACCTACTCTCAGGGATCGGACTTAAGCCACGTCTTCCCCTTTCAAAACAATCCGGCTCAGGAGCACCCCTTCATCTTATACAAGAAGAAAAAGAAGGTCTCCATGGACGTTCGCAGTATGTCCAGTGGATCAGAATTCTCATACCACTCGCGGACAGGGAGTTTCACCACAACAGGGTCTGGTCTGGAGGGTGACACATCCATAGAGCGCCTTTGTCAGACACAAGACCATTCTGGCGAGTCTGTATTGATGATGGCCGTCCAGCATGGGCAACCGGCGACCTTGAAGTACTTTTTGTCGCTTGAGGAGTTCTTCCCCGCAAGGGCTGTGCTAGAGGATACCAACAACCAGGGCACAACATTACTCAGCGCTGCTGTCCAGCTTGGCCACGCGGAACTGATCGATGGCATTCTGGACATCGTTCTTTCTTCCTCAAGCGATGAACAGACCTGTGCTTATCTGCACCAGCAAGACATCTGGGAGCGCAGCGTTGCCCACTATCTCTTCCAGGCACCCAGCCTGATACCACGTATCGGACACATGCTCCCGTGGCGGCAAAAGGACAAGAATGGACAGACTCCTCTGTTCGCGCTCTGTCGTTCTTATGATCACACGGATTATCAAGAGATGGTACGATCTGGCGTGCAGGCTGCTGCCAAGGCACAGCGGGATAGGCAGCCGTTGCATCTGGACGACCACGTCGATGCAAAGGGCAACACCTTGCTGCACATCATCAACGACCACGTGCTAGCGCACGACATCCTGCGCCATGGCGATGCTGACCCCAATGCGACGAATGAGAAGAAGTTCACGCCCCTGATGCTGGCAAGCAAGTATGGCCGTTTCGAGATGGTCAGGGTGCTGTACTCGGACCCTCGAGTGGATGTTGCCGCGAAAGAGTTGCGCGGCCTGACTGCTGTCGAGCTTGCGAAGGATGATGAAGTGCGGAATAAGATCGACGACTTGACCCTCTTCGTGATGCAACCTGCCGACGATGGCCGCATCACGGGCGTCGTGCGCTCTTTCTTTGTCGAAGACGCCACCATCCG